AGTGTTTTATCCTCAGTCACATTGACACAAAGGCATCTGCTGTGACGCTTGCACCTCTGATGAAGTCTCACAAGTGTCAGCTTTGTTTTTATACCAAGTTTACACTGAGTATGTAATTGCAGAGAAATATTCATCTGAATACGTTTGAATTAAATATTTTTAATATACAAGGTGTGAAGGCTTATTTTGACACTACATATACAAAGACAAATGATCATAATTATAATATTTCTGAGTCAAAATTAAATTGAATTGAATTAAATCAGGACCTTGTGAATCAGGATTGAATCAGTTGTAGAAATGATACCCAGCCCTACTGATAACTTACTGATAATCTCACTACAGATGAATACTAGCCAGGTTTTTCTAATCCTTATTATTTATTTTATTCAAGCACGTTTAAATATAGTGTGTACAACAATATTTTTTATTTACACACAGTAGTAGAAACTTGCTTGAGAGACAGAGAGTTAAATGTGCTTTAAAAACATAACATTTCTTAAATGTAAATGCAATGATGCAAATGATCTTGTGGATCTGTTTGTTGGTATGATGCTTCTTGAGTGGGGAATAGCATTTTAAAACAGAGGCGTTGCTCTGCAGCTGTGGAGATCAGCTGAAGAAATACTTTTGTGAAGCTCTGGCCTCAAAGCACAAAACACCAAACAGGATTTTTTTCCTTACTTGATTTACTCAGACAAACAGACAGCCCACTGGTGACTAGTTTAGAGGTAGACAGAGGATCAGAATAATTTATAAGACGAGACAAAACAGAAGAATACGCACCAGTTGCTTTGCCTTTATTCTCTGTTGATGCCATTTGTATTGGATGCTGATACTAGAAGGATAGCTGTGTGGTGTTTGTTTGTCCAGCATGAAAACCCAGCAGGGAATCTTGTGTTGGATGCTGATGTGAAGCTTCGACAAAATGAAGATTGTGGTTTGTTGTGGAGCGTTCTGCAGGGAGCAGGCTTCAGTGTTTTATCCTGACATCAAAGCTCTAAATCAGCTGGGAGGGTGAGATGGGTTTAATCTGGATCTGAATGATTTCCACCACCTGGGAAACAAAGAATCCGAGCATGGAAAAATTGTGCTACAGCCGAGGCTGTTGCCAATTTGTTTTCCTGTCTTACAAGTCAACAACTTTGCTCTGAAATGTTACTTAACTTTAGGTTAATGACAAATCAAGTTCTCTTTTCATTGTATTGCCTAAATGATGGTTTGAAAAGTGTAGAGATTTTGGCAAGTCATAGAGCAAAGGTGACAAGAAGTTAAAATGAGGTAATAGATGCAGACACCCCGACAGTTTGGAAAATCACCTGGAGATAGCGTTAATAAAATTTACTGGAGAACAAAGTGAAAAACGTAACGGGTTTAAAATCAAATCCAAATGGTAACACAACTCAAAAGAAGAAACATAAAGGCAACCAAGGATGGGTGAGCAGGTGGACAGCAAGGCTCACAGAGACAGGGGGAGGGAGACAAGATGATGTAGGGCTGACTGAGAAATAAAGGAAGGATAGAAGCAATTAGGATATCACAGGTGTGAATTACTTTCAAAATAAAATTCCTAATAAAAATTAGTACGGTTAGCACTGTTGCCTCACAGCAAGAAGGTCCTAAGTTTGACACCACCACCACCACCACTCCTTTCTGTGTTCTGAGTTTGCATGTTCTCCCCGTCTTTGTGTGGGTTCTGTCCAGGTCCCCTCAGTCCAAAGACATCCACTCAGTAACTGTTGGATCTAAACTGGCGATAGGTGTGAATGTGAGTGTGAATGGTCTATCTCTCCGTATTAGCCCTGCGTCGGATTGGCGAAATGTCCAGGGTATACACTGCAGTGTTCAAGATCACAGGCAGAAAAAGTAAAATAGGAACTAGAAACAGTGACTCTCAAGATGAAAGACAATCTAGAATGGGGAAAAAAAGATCTACCACCTTATATTTTTTATTTTCCTCAATGTGATTAAGTATATCAGTTTACCATTACCATAAAAAGACCAAACCTAAATTAGTAATGGATACCATTTACTTGCTACAGTTTCCCAAGTCTGCTATTGTTCTTTCTGGCACACTGTCACACTGCTACGACTTACTGGCATCCTTACATAGAGCATAATTTTGGTTAATGAACTGCCTGTGCTTTTCCTGTTATTGGCATGTTCTGAAAAAGGCCTTTTTTCCCCACTATGTTGTCCTTATTGGTGGTAGTGGAAGTGATGTCACTGACTTTTGACTGATTTGTGAAATAAAGACTGCAGGAGGTAAACAGCAATCAAAGGACTTTTTTTCAGTTTTTGTGGCCAGAGCTATTTGTGAGTTTATTCTGGGATGAAATTAGGGTGTAATTTGACCGGGTCTACACGTCCCTGCTTCTTCTAAAGGATTTTTTTTAAGCCCGGTGTGGATAAAAATGTATCCCCCTCTGATTTTAACACCCTGAAACACTCTGCAGTACAAAGACATTGACTTTCACTTCCAGAACTTGTGATCCTGTGACTGCAAACAGGACACTGTTGGGAGGATGATCTGTTTCCTATTCCATTCATCTTTGATTATGCCACCATTATACCACTGCTGTTTCAATGTGAAAACTACCACTAACTAAATAAAAGAAAAAAAGAATTTTGTATATCAGATTTTACAACAGACTCACAAAAAAAAATCCATCCATCCATTCGCTTCCGCTTATCCTTTTCAGGGTCGCAGGGGGCGCTGGAGCCTATCCCAGCTGTCATAGGGCGAGAGGCGGGGTACACCCTGGACAGGTCACCAGTCTGTCGCAGGGCCAACACACAGAGACAGACAACCAGTTGCACTCACATTCACTCCCGCATTCACACCTATGGGCAATTTAGATTGTTCAATTAACCTATCCCAACAAAAAAGAAATCCAAAACACAAAATAAAAACTTGAATGACTACCGACAACCAACCACATATTTGATTTTATAGACTACATCAGCTTCCCTACCGCCTTTTATTTCAACTTGTTAAATTGCAGTGCAATTTAACAGCAGTAAGGGTGCTGTTTGCAACATCCTGCTTTTTATGAAGGGCATCTCTGAAGAAGTGTTAAGGACATGGTTTGTTGGCTTGGCAAGTGATGAAGCAGCAGCTGTAATGAGCCAATAGAGAGAAGCACCCACATTTCTGTGTGTGGGAAGAATCCACCATAATCCCACTGTCATTCACTGCATCATTCATAGTTAGAACCTGTGGCCCCTGATGCTGTAAAACACATTAGAGTTGATATGATCTGTGCCTTAATGTAACCAAGTAGTTTTTTTTGCACAAACCTAACCAAATAAGAACTCTACATATTTGTCCTTTTTCATTCAATGTGGCGCCTTCTCCAGGGTCACAGCCTTGGTAATTATGCCAATAACTCCACGTCATCAATTTTAATCTATAATAGACATATATTTAATATTTACACTAACTCTTTAATGTTTAAAACTTCACTTTTGAATTCAAAGCTAAAGTACTTTCAGGACATGAGTGTGTTCTACTCGTTCAGTGCCAAAATGCAGACAGACTAACTTAACGATTTGTTTTGAGCACGGCTTAGAATTTAGCCAAGGAAAAGCCACTCTACATGCTAATAATTTATCAGTATTGCTCCCTCAAGCGGCCAGATTCTTGATTAATTAAAAATGATAATTAATGACAAATTCAGTGCCATGAACGTCAGGTCATACACGATACTCGTGGATCATAACTGTAAAAAATAATCAGTAAAAATCACGTCAAGTTGCAAAAACGCAGACATTAGGAGTAGGAGGGTAATGAATGGCCACTGTGCTGCTGATGGCTTCATAAATCAGGTTCAGCTGTCATTCTACTACTGCATTTTTCAAATCAAGTAGTGGCAGATCAGGAGAGCCGTGTGTGTCACATTTCCTTCCCAGCTGTATTAACGGTGCAAAGCCCACACGATCCCGGCTGTTTGCTGAGGAAATCGATGAATTAATGAACGCCTCCGTCTCATTTTCAACTCCTACTGCTGCTTCTGCGGCTGCTGATGCTGCAAAAACTCTGGCTGCTGTAGCTGTTCTCAGAGGAGCAGCTTCCCTTTCAGTTCATTTACTCACTAAATGAACAGAGATTATCAAAGCCCTGAAATACCTTTTACATATAAATGCATGTATTATTAAATTTGGGCTTTAACTTCAAAGACTTTTTGTTATTAGAGATGGCTGTAGCTCAGCAGGTATAGAGCAGGTGCTCTACTGCTTGACTACATCATTGATTTGCTTGGCTTGCTTGACTCCAGCAATGACAACAGTGGTTGCTAATGCTTAACTTTAAAACCTAGCCATAAACAGCTTGGAGACATTGTTGCTGGTGGTGATAGTCTTGAGCATATATCCAAAATGTACTGTGTAGAGTTATTTGTGGCCAGTGGTTTATGAAACTATTTCAGTGCACTGTTACATTTTTCTGTTTCTTCAGAGAATAAAGATCTAATGTATAACTTATTACTCTCATTTTTATTTTCATGTCTATTTAAGCTCAATTTATAACAGTATTTATAACAGTATGTTTGCACTGAAGCACCGCAGCAATTTCCTAATGTTGTAAACCCGCTCAACATTTGGCAATAAAACCCTTTCTGATTCTGATTACACAAACTTTCCATTTTCAAACAATGTCAGGCCTTTGTGTTCAAACAGGCAGAAATATAGGATATATGAAATACACGGGAACACATAGGTACATTTAAAATTTCTGTCTCTGCTCATTAAAAAAAACAACTGAAAAAATAGCTGATATAAATTTAAATGACGTCCCCTTTGTCTCTTTGTGAAACACGTAGTGTTCAAGCACTCTTGGCTTCTTGCACATGCTCGCTCTCTGCGCAGGTTTGAGTTCGTGATGAAATCAATGTGCAAATGCAGGACGAGCATATGCGTTACTGGATTCAGCCAGCCATTTTTTGCCACTTTGTGGGACTCAGTTGAGACGTGAAGTGTGCTTGGCAGACTTGCTGAACAAATAAAAACCACGTCTGAAATGACGATGTTATTGTTTGCCACATAGTTTTATCACACAAAAAGCTCAGCTAAGCAGTGATAAATGTGTTTATATGTTGTGTATCGCTTCAGAGCGATATACACATTCTTGTTTTTATATAGATGGCAGATTCTTTTGAAAGGTGGCACACTCAATATTTTTTGCAGTCACTGTATTTTTACATCTGGGTGCAGAAAAGCCTGAAAAGCTCTGGCAAGAGGCTCGTTGAAGATAAATGTCTGTCTTACCAAAACCTGTGGGATGAATCACTCACTATTCTGGGCTCCCCACCTCTCTGTTTAGATCTTCCTTCATTTTGATTTCCTGTTCTTACAGTTTATCGCTCATTTCTCACATAAGCCTCTTGTTTTATCCTTGTAGAATTTTTACCCCCCTTTCCCATCCATCTGCTTTCCGTGTTTTAAATGAGCTTCTTAGAAGTTGTCTCCTTTTCTTTGCAGTCTGTTTTCTGGTGTAGTCATTAGTTTCACTCCGTCTGCAGCCACATTTTCATCAGTAAAAACTAATTTCGTCAGCCACATCTTCTTGCCAAATGTTAATAGCAGTGTTCGTGTTCTTTTCTCGGGCAGCGCTGACAATTATCAGTAAAGCTGCTGCAATTATGCTGGAATAGACGTTAAGACTTATTGTGCCACTGTAATCACTTTCTCAGTGAATTTGATTTAAAATGCGAATTTAACTTTAATTGGAAGCCTGTTGTGTTTACGAATTGCCAACTAATCAAGTACTGATTTACGCCTGTCTCTGTGTGTGAGTGTGTGTGTGTTCATTGTTCAAAGTTCCAGTATTACACTTGAAGCTTGAGGGGAAATAGGCTGGAGTTTCCCTGCAGGAGATATCCAACGTTTCCCAGCCTGCTGCTGCTACATCGAGCCCATTAGCCCTTCTGTTCGTCTGACATGTCATCAGGCTGCTGAAATTACCATCCAGGCTTGCTATTCTCATGTAAATGATTAACCTTCATTCCAGGCCTGTCTTTCCCATTCAGCTCCCTGTCTGTCCGTAGTGTTGTCTGTTCACTGTGCTGCCTGTCTCTTAAGGTAACAGCTTGCCTCTTCCTCTGCCTGTCTCTCCTTTCAACTTTTGACTTTTCATTTTGCTCATGTCTATCTCTGTATGTTCCTGTCTGTCTTCTGTACCTGTCAGGTGGAATTTCGGTGCATTATTAATGATTCAGTGGTCCTTTCTTTGCTTATCCATCTATCTGCTTCTTATAGCTGTGCTTCTGTCCGCAGTGGCTTCATGTCAAGCTTGGTCTCCCTTCAGCAGTAAAGCAGAAGGGCAACTATGCAGCCTGAGCAGCTTTTCTCTTCATCTATTACATACACTCCTTAATGCTCTAGTAACGGGACAAATTGAGTTGGTTTCAGGTTTCAGTCCTTACAGGTTAACTGGATTCAGTTGGTATCAGGGATTAAGTGAGAGGACAAACCTGTCTCACATTAGTTGTATTAAGTCTTTGTTGAGAAGAATTTTCCAGAAAAAAACAAAGTCTTATACTATGTATGATTATTCGGGGACTTTCTGGGGAAAATTAGGATAAAGTTTTCTGGAAACCAATTTTCAATTTAATTTGCAGCCAATTAGGGAGAATAAAGATAATGGTCAGTTAGTTCAGCTGCTTTTAATGAACCCCAATTAACTGGTAGCATAACCCAGAAAGTTTTTAGTCAGTATACATTACGCTAACAGAAAGCACAAAAGATGAGTTAATTCACCAAGCATTTAAT